TTCAAGCTTGGGAAGCCTCTCCTGCAGAAATTTTCTTTCTGAGCACCAGTTTTCCTACTCAGTGTCAAAACCTTGGTTGCCAAGGGCACATGCACAGACTTCTTGGAGGACTTAGTTCAAAGCTTTCAGTAGCCAGGAGGACCTTTGCCCACTGCTGTAACATCCAAAAGAATTGAGCTTTCAATGCCCACTGTCACTTGTGCTCAGTGGATTTCAGTGGGAGCAAGGCACTGAGCTCTCCGGTGGCAGCTGCTTATGAGTCACCACCCCACACCCCTGCTCTCAGATATCATTCTTCTCTTTCTCTAAGGAAAATAACCATCTTCCCTTGCCTTTTTCTTCCATCAGAGACATACAAGCAGGAAGACTAATAGCTGACCCTTTCCTCAGGTATCAGTTTCACTGCTAACAGCTACTAAATAGAAGTCCCAGAGGTAAATAATTTTTGACCAGAAATGGTAGATAACTCACAATATATATCAAGAAGCTACAGAATTTTTAAAACAGGGTTTAAAACACCAAAATAGAGATGCAGCATGTGGCTCTGTGTCAGTGGTGAAAATACAGATGGCAATTATAAGTGGTTTAATAAAGCATTACAGTAGATAGACCTGGAGCCTACATATTTTTCTTCTGAAGTGCAAACTAAATCCAGTAACACTCTAAAAAGATCTCTCTCATTTAATACACTTGATAAGTAGGATAGATCAAAGGATTAAAGTTTGAATGACAGAGTATCCGCCTTCTGGTGGGGGCTGTGTGTAACACACAGAGACATAGCAGAGGTATTAATGTATTTCTTTAGACATTCTGGTGAATTATGGGCCAGACTTACTCTAAACTTCATCCTGTTGTACAGTGGCCTTTCTCTCTTCATGACTGCAATTACTGTGATGGGAATGGATTAGCACAGAGCAGTTTGAAAGTCTGGCCTGGATATGATTATTTGTTTGTGCATTTTCCTGTATAGGCAAAATATTCACAGCTCAAAAATGGGCCAGAACATCAGTCTGGCTGTTCGTCCTCTTATCCACAGCTCCCAAGGAGGGCTGAGTGGTGGCAGCAGTAAAAAGTCCATTGAGCAGCTGAACAGCAAACGTCAAAGCAAGGTAGTGGCTGAAATATGGGGTCTGTCCAAGGCAATCATGGCAGGATCAGTGCACCTCAATGCAGCTCAGGAGGGACTGATGGCCAGGGCTGAGCTGAGAGATTCCCAGATGGGAGCAGGAGTCCATCCAGGGCCCTTAGTGCTGTCAGACCCTGGCAAGTAGGTGTGGAGTACCCTGCACATGTGTTCAAGCTTGGGAAGCCTCTCCTGCAGAAGATGCCCTGTGGGGTTAAGCAGTTGTCCAGAGAATAAACATCATGGCTGGTTTTATAAAGCAGCTGTCAAAGAACATCTTTTCCCTCTTATAAAAAAACACTCTGTAAGACTGCTACAGGACTGTGACATTTTGCACAAGGGTGATCTCTCTTGATCACTCTAGATGTTTGGGTTTTTTTACCATGCACATCTATGGCTTAAAGGCACAGATTTACCCATATCCTTTACTAGCCCATTTCCAAAATGTTTAGCAGTTGTGTTGTTTCACTGATTCTGTTCTACTTCTTTCTTGCCTTGTAATTCTTTCACATTATATAATTGATCTCAAATCTTCTACAATCTGTTATTTGCACTTTACCTTGTCAAAATTACTGATTGGAATTTCTCATCCTTGTCCAAAGACTTGTGATTCCATGAGCTCACAAAATGGATTACACATTACACAATGCTGATAAATGCAATCCCTCACAGCGGTCTGATTTCCCAAAGTCTGTCCAACCGTAGTCACTTCAGTGTGAACCTTATCCATGGATAGTCTTTGCTCATGTCCTGTCAGAGGCTACGAGTGGGGATTTTATCCTGCTGTTGTCTCATCACTGAACAAGAAAAAAGCCTTTGGGCAATTGCATCCAATGAAAAATAATAAATTCCTGTCAACCTGAAAAAAAGCATAATTTTTACTTGCTAATAGATAACTCTATTCTTTACTCTTTTGCATTTGGCAAAACTAAGTATAACAAAATATATGAGACAATTAACTGGGCAATCATTTTTCTTGACACCAGAACAGAGTAAGGGAGCACTGCAATGCCTTTGAGACGTGTGTGAATTAGTTGGAAAATGTGCACACTTGCACAATGTTAAAAGGTGCAGAGGTCAGATTTCTTAAAACCACATTTTTTATTTTGGACTAAAGTCTCTCTGCATCAGAGACTGGCAGAACAGAGAATAAATAAAATCAGTGCAGATAAGTTGGAATGATGGCCTGAAAAAATGACAAATGTAATGCACGTGGTACAGGTGCAAGCTGTGAAATCTTTTCAGGTGCAATACAGAAGGGGGGCAAGCTGGTCTGACAGCACTTCTGAAAACTTTCTGGAAGATCATAGCAAGGTGAACTTGAGTTCATTGTGTTGTATAAAAGAAAAGCACTATATATAGGCACATGCTGAAGATTGCAGCTTGAAAGGCACTCTGCTGTCTTCCCAATCTTCACTCGGGCAGCTTTATTGCTTATTGCCACTTGTTACATCAAGTCTCAAAACAAGTGGAAATGGAGAAAACCCAGAGGAGAGCAATAAGAATAATCAGAACCAAAAAGACAGAGATGTTGTGGAATGATTGATCAGATCACTGTAGTTTTAGCCGTGAGAAGACAGAAATCCTCTCACGCAGAAGGTCTACAAACGTGAACAAGGCTGGAGCAAATGTAAAAAGGAATGAACTCCTGAGTGTGAGGAAGAGGGCAGTATGTAACTAGCTGTAGCAATAGCCATGCATTTTCAGGCTAGATGTCTGGAAAACCGTGCTAATTGTTGAGGTACTGGTTTAAGTACCTCAGTACTCAACCAGTGCTTTAAAGCACTGGTTTAAGTTGCTCAGGCAGGCTGCAATGATGCTCTGTTACGGGATCTCTTCTAGGACAGAATCATGTGGACATCTGTCAGACATGACAGTGGTCTTGCTTGGGATTATAAGGATGGCTTAGACCTCTGGAATTCACTGCCTTGTCACTTGGTGGTTGTGATAAGGACTGACAGGTCACTTTCCTTAGGCAGACCTGTTAATGCTTCACTTTCTTGCTCAGGACCGTGGACTTCTAATAATTAATTTCTGTCTTCTGTTGCATCCTGCTCCTTTTTTTCCCTCTCAAGTGTACTCCCAGCAGCAGAGTTAACACCTCTTCTCCCATTTATGAATCAAGATTATGGGATAATTAATTCACTGAGGAAAATAATAAACTTCTTTTTATAGGTTTATTTGAAAAGCAGTGACCTCGGAAGGTCTGTAGATGAAGTAGAGCAACTGATAAGGAAACATGAGGCTTTTGAGAAGCTTCTGGCATCACAGGATGAGAAGGTAAAACAATAAACAACAAATATTCTACCGGCTAGAATTCTATGAGCCAAAATTATAAATATAATTTTTTTTTAAATATGGTAACACTGAATTGGTAACAAGTGTGAAATGCCTGATATGCTTGAACAAAAGATAAAAAGGGGAAGCTTAGGGAAATAAGAGGCAGAGCACTGGAGAACAACTGTTAAAACACTCCATGCCCAGGTCTATGCAGCAGATAGGAAAACCACTCAGTAAGCTGAACAGGGGGACTTACAAGAATTTAAAAGCAGGCCATATTGTATTATGGATATCAGAAGTTTCTGCCTTTTTTCATTAAAAAAAATTTGACTTTTAAAGCAAGTAAAATAGAGCAGGTGTTTTACAAAACACAGTAGGTATTTTGACATTAAAAAGTTGTCAATATGCACTTGGTATACAACGGCTGTAGCAAATGGGCAGCCTCTCTGCACCTTTGGAATAGACACTGAATTGCTCACCTGTGTAAAGGAATCTGCCTGGCTGGTGGCCACGGCTGTAACTCACCCAGGGCAGAGCTAAGCTTAAATCTGTGGCTGTGCCTGGCTTCCCCAGAATGAACTCCCAGGACTCCTGCCAGCTCCCTGCCAGACTGATTGCTCATTTTGAGAGCTGTATTACAACACCTGGTTTCCAGAAAGCAATAAAATCTGAGCACTCATGGGCATCATGCTTGCTTCATGATTCCTTGCACTGGACAATCAGTGGCATATAGGGACTCCTGAAGCTACAATTTTAATTAATTTATGTAGCTGGGATGTACCAGCAACAGTAATGTCAGAGATGTAACATAGTACAGGTTGAGGGGGAATGTTGGTTGTCCCTGTTGTTCTTGGTTCACTACAGAAAAAATGAGACTATTTTAGCTATGAAAGGAGTTTATTTTGTTTCTTTCACACCACTTGGAAGCATAAAAGTAATTTGAGATGTGTTGCCTCCTCAGATGATGTCTCTTCAAGAACAGGCAAGCAGATTGGAAAAGGCTGATGGACTAGAGGGGCAAAAGATTCAACACAAACTGAATGTCATTCACGAGAGAAAGCGTCAGATCAAGGATCTATCCCAGAGCAGGAGAGAGAAGCTGCAGACTGCCCTTCTTCTGGCACTTTTCTACCAAAACTTGGAAGAGGTAAGAGGGTTTTAGACTGGGATGGGGATGTAAAGCAGAGGAACTGCCTACCTCTGTTGTGTGAAGTGCTCACTCTTACCAGACATTATCAGGTGGATGGATGATCTACTCTGGTGTGGCAACTCCTGCCACATTCATGCAAAAGGATGCTCCAATGTCATTCCTGTTACTATACTATTGTCATGGAATTGTGCCCATTACAGCCATTTCACTCATCAAAAGCTCTGCTAAAATAAAACAGTTGAAAGGAAAACTGCAAGCTAATACATATTTTTGATTTGGTGAGAAAGAAAATGCATTTCAAATCAGGATGAACACAAAGTGGAAAGCCTGGGCATCAAGCTTTATTAGTGGGTGTTCCTTGAAGGCCTTCAAAACACTGCTGTGACTCAGCATAGCTCTTGAGCTACTGTAGACTGGCCTCTGCAGAACATGCTGGTCTCTGTCTCCTGTTCTGGCCTTAGTCCTGTAACTGAGTAGCTCTGCTCTGTCACTACTGTTGGAAAGACAAACTAGGTCAGCCGTTCAAAGGGCAGCATAACATGTGTGACTGAGAACTGTGCTGGCACAAACAAGAGCACACAGACCCAGGGGCACATTTTCAAGCACTCTTGCTGGTCTGGTATCCACCCCTTCTGCTGCTTTGTCCCATGGAATGTCCTCAATGGTTTGCAAAACCAGAGCTATACCTTTTCTTTTTCCTTCTCCTTTTTCTCTTTTTCCTTTTCCTTTTTTTCTTTTTTCTATTTCTATTCCTATTTCTATTTCTTTTTCTCTCTTTTTCTTTTTTCTCTTCCTTTTTCATTTAATAAAATTTATTAGAAATTATTAATACACCCAAATATTAACTTGTATTATTTGGTTATACTGTTACTATCCCATGATATGAAAGTAATGAAAATCCACCAGTAATGGTCAGTCCACCTTTTGGACTAGCAGAGGGGAGTGGATGGACTGGATGGTGCATTGCACAGGGGTGATAATTTCAGAAGAGCAATTTCCCAAAATCCTCTTGGTAGAGAAATTGTCAATGCCCTTCTAGAGATGCAGTCAACCCATTAGGTAGGAATAGTTATGCATTTCTTTCCATCTCTCTGTAATTGTCAAATCAGTGCTTGGGCTGGGGTTCCCCTTCATTCTTGAATCACAAGCTTAGTGCACAAGATTTGGCCCTGCATAGTGAAGAACATTTCCCTATTCTCATCCACTTTCTCCACGTAAATTCAGCCAAGAGTTCTTTGGGGAACTTTTGCTCTCAGGATATGTGCTCATTTACCTCACCAACCTAGAATCATTGCCTAATGCTGTAGAATGTGAATTTCACCAAGCAGATAAAAAAACCAAAAATCTTATAATAATATCTTCCTTTCTCTTTGTTGGAGAGAATGGAACGTTTAAATTTATTTTAATTACATTCTGGGTGTGTACAAGTTTGTTTATGAGAAAGGTCCCCACAAGAATGTTAAATTCGGAGATGTGTTTTGAGTTTGACTGTGAAATCAATGAGGTCATTGCTTATTCTTACCTTGTAAGAGAACCAAACCCATAGCTCAGGTCCCACTCCCCTGAAAACTTGCATGTCCTGCAAACATGTTAAATAATTTCTATTGATCACCTTCTAAAGTAGAAATATGGTGGTTTTGTCTCATGTAAAGAGAGACAGAGTTATAAACTACCTTATTGCCAAAAAATCTGTAGCTCAGTGTTAATCTGGAAGACAAATGAGAAGTTGCTACTTAGAAATACGTGTATTTAAGTTATTGCAGAGGGAATATTATAAAGTTAAAAGATTTGACTTCTAAAGCTGGCTCCGGGTTTTAACGCTGGCTTTGAAACTTGCTCATGATATTAGTAGTACTTTCTTTCCCTTTCATCCTGTACATAAGAATAAAAAAAGCATTTACATGTTTATGTCGGGGGAATGAGAGAGAGAATTAGTTTTTTCTAGATGTCTGGAGTAGGCACATCCCTTTATATGCTTTGCATACTTCTGTTATTAAAAAATCAGTGTAATTTACGGTTTGTACTCGTGAGGTTACAGCAACTGATTTTTTGAAAGAGTAAGTTTCTAAATTGGTAGTCCCCACATTTTTTAATTACTCCCATAGAAATAAGTCTGGTCTTGTGCCTGCACTGAGCATAACACTAGTTTTTCTGTTGTCTTCACTGAAGTAAAAATGGCTGCCCAGACAACCCTTAAATCTTTCCATAGAAAGATCTTGGGAAAACAGATCAGCTTTGCTTCACATCTGAAAGGTGGCACCAGGCCAGGAGAAGGATCCCTCACTCTCTAGAGCCATCTTAAACAAGCCTTAAAATAAACCAAGGCACTAAGAGTTCAGATGTTCAGTCTATCATTAAAGTCACTGCTTCTAATTAAAAAGTAGGAGAGAAATCGACCTTGAAGTCGCTTTATCCTGGGGATTGGTTTGTTTCTCATTCCAGCCATATGGATGAGCCTCCCATTCAAATGAAGAGTCACTTGAGTGACACTGAAGCACGAATGTGTGCCTGGGAATGGGAGAAGGCCATCGAGGAGGGTGTTGGAAATGAAAGCAGCACATGACAATGTGTAGCCCTTGCTAAGTTTGACATGGCCTGTTTGGGTCTCTAACTGTGCTTTGGAGGGAAACAGTTTCTGGAGAGCAGGCTGCTAGAGAATGTTGTTTCTGTTATTGTTTGTAGAATCTCAGCAGCTGAAAAAACATTTCAAATCATTAATTAACAGACAAAATCCTCCAGCTGACAAGTCTTGTGTGCACGTAGCACACAGATCTGCAAGGACAGCCAGGATATTTTGAAATTAATAAAGCTGCCCTTCAATTAGCAGTTTTTGTGTTGTCAAAGCATTACATTACTTCAGTGCTCTGAGGACAACAGGATCAGTTACAACATTATATCAAGTGTTCAGCTCTCAGTGCTTTGATAGATAGAAAATATTTCCTTCAGTGCTAGGGGCTAAAGTTCAGCAGAACTTAAAGAAAACTGTGGGAAAGTTGGTTTCCTATTCTTCATTTTATTCTGCATGTTTTAAAATCCCCTTAAAAATAATTTCCTAAGAGAAACACGTAACTTTTGCTTTGTTAGCTCTCACAAATCACCTGCTTTTCTGAATCTGATATTTCTGACCAGATAACTTTGAATTTTATGAAGTATAAAAGCAAATATAGTTGCATTTCCTTCCAAATAATCTGACTACTGCTTGGGCCCCATCAGCAAATCTTTGCATTTGCATTGCATTTTCCATTTAGGTCTCCCAACACCACTGACATGAGGAAATGTTAGTGCTGTTTTATAGGTGAGGCACTGAATTCTAAAGAATCTTTGCCCATTTTGCAGGTAGGTCAATGGCAGAGATACCAAATGAAATTCAGAGCCCTAAAACCCCAGACTCAGTGATCATAATCTCACTTTAAATGTCATGCTCTCTACATAATCTAGAAGACTGTATAATCTGCCTTGTGATAAAATCTGAGGTATTCAAGGAATTTTTCATTACTCCTGTGGTCAGATAAAAATCAGTTTCATTCCGACCTGCTTTTAACAAAGTAGAATAAGTTCAGAAACTGGAGATCCACCCACCTCAGCTGTCAGCTCCCACTCAATCTGTCCAGCCCAGGTACAGACACTTGCACAGGATGGTGACATATCCTGGGAGGAGGCCCCAGGATCCCAGGTGGCTGTTGTGCTAACTCGGGTGCCTCTCAACGTTGCAGGCAGAAGATTGGATCAGTGAGCGCATGCAGAAGCTGGAGGACCCTTCCACACAAGACCCCAGCAATCTGCAGGACAAGATGAAGCTGCTGCAGAAACATCAGGTCTTTGAGGCAGAGATTCTAGCAAATGAAGAAATCATCACAGCTGTTAATAAGGTGACCCTCTCACTCTGTTAGTGTTTTTAAAGATTATTACTGCTCATCCAAAGATGGACAGATTGATGAAAGGTAAAGGAAGAGTAGTTTGGTCATCACTTCTGCATCAATTATCCCACTGGTGTGACAAGAACCCAGTTGCTTTGCCATGGAAATGTAATGCTGTTAATTTACAGCAAGGAGATACTTCATTTGCTCCACCCAGGAGCTTCCGTCTTTCCTTATAGCCTAAATAGGAAAATACACACTGAGTTCTTCCTTGTCTGACATGATTAATCCTACAAAAGGCAAATAGGATTTCATGCCAAATTTGTGAATATTCTTGTTGGAACTGGGTGAATCATATAGCTAAAGGGCACAGTCATCTGTAATATCTCGCTTGGCGCTCCCATTCCATGAATATCTTCCTTGGCAGGGAAATATTCAAATCCCCGTGTTCCATGATTCTCAATTCCCTCCACATGTAAAAGCTTTCCAGCTGGCTTTATCATGTGGGTGATAAGAATTTATATAAGTAATCTGTTGCTCAATCCAGGTTAGGAAGGTGAAAGAATCCTCCTAGGAAAGTCATGAAACATAGTAATCCCATTAAAAATGAGGCAACTTTAACTTCTAATTTCTTCTTCTGAATGTGAAGAAAGGAGAAGCCCTGGTGTCAAAAGGCCACCCAAAATCAGGAGAGATCCGTCGCCAAGTCCGCGTGCTTCAGGAACACTGGGAGAAGTTGAAGAGAGCTGTTGCTGCTCGTGGAAAGATGCTGGAGGACAGTCGGGACTTCCTAGAATTTCTCCAGAAGGTGGACCAGGTGAAAGCCTGGATCAGGGAGAAGGCAAGTGGATTTTAGTATTTAACCCAAGCAGCACACTAAAAACTTGACATTTAGCAATGACATTCTGTGTCATCTTCCAGGATATATGCCTAGTGAATTTTGTCTGGAAGAATCATGACATTTTCTACAAACAATATGAAAGGAATGGCTGAAAAAATTCTATGGAGTCTGTCCATACCAGAGTCAACTGGGCAGTATTAGCACAATCTTCTCATGTGAACTGTGCACATGAAGAGTTTGTGATTATTTGTGGCCCTCTCATGTGTCTCTACTTAGACAAAGAAATGAAAGCAGATAAGAATGGAAGACACTTGAAGCATTTGGCAGCTGGCCTTCACTCTCATTGTATATCAAATCTGGAAGTTTCTCTTTGCAGGGGTGAAGGAAGAATGACTTTCATTTAGAGGCTGCTTCCGTAGCCAGTAGTAGATCAAAAAGGGAGTTGGGACCAAGTCTCATAATTATCTAAAGATCAGAAGAAACTGTTTCAGAAGCTGTAGGTTGGTGATTTATAGACTCATCACAGAAGTTACTGCATCAGGATAAGCATTGGGAGTTGCTGTGGTCTTGTACTCTTTTCCTAAATATTTGTCTGTTTGCTGCTTATTTCCCTAGGAGGTCATGATTAATGTAGGTGATGTGGGAAATGACTATGAACACTGCCTGCAGCTCAAGAAAAAGCTGAATGAGTTCCGTGGAGCAACATCAGGGGTAAGAGGTGTTTTCTGTGCTCATGTTGTGCATGGCTGCAAGCAGCAGGTAACTTTTCAGTCCAGTTAATAAATACAGTTCCAGTGCCCTGAGGAGGTGTAAGACCAAAGTGATAGGAACATCACTACCTCAAAAGTCATTTTAAAAGACTGAATTTTCTCCTATTATGCCTTCTGCTTTGAAGATGTCTAGGCAGGACTGTCAGCCACTCCTGACAACCTAACATTTCAGACTGCATTAAATGACTCACTGTGTGAGCCTGAATTTGAGCAGATTTTGTTTGGTTCATGTCGTCTGCAAAGTCGCAGTGACTTCCATCCAAAAGCGATTTAAAAATGTGTGTTTCAGCCATGCTTGTTTGCCTCTGAGAACTGATCTGGACCTTCCATGAACAAGCCTGTAAAAAAAACAGTTCTCTATTTCTATCCTCTATTTCTCCATTTTCCTTCTCCTGAGGAATGGTCTCATTCTCATACTCCTTCATCCAAATTAAGCACATAAATCTGGGGGCCTCTGTTTATATACACACATGTGGTTACTCATGAATCATAACGTTAATAACCAGACATTTAGTAAAACAGAGCAGTGGTTTACGCTTTGGATAACAGTCATGTGACAAGACAGCTGCACTCTTCACCTTTCAATGCTGAGATCTCTGTCCTTCTTTTGTGGTGCTGAGTCACGACAGCTGCCTCTCCTGCCCCCAGTGAGATGTGCCGACTTAGGCACCAAACCTGGGAGCAGGGAGACAAGGGAGCCTCCTTGTCATGTGTTCAGCTCCCCCTGTGTGAGGCCACATATTGAGGGGATGCAATTGCAGCAACCTCTTGTTCTCTCTCTGTTTGTGTGAACTGCTACAGATGAGGACTAAGAGGTCTGTGTGTCACACAGGAAAGATTACTGCGCTGATTTGCTAGTCTGGAAATTGCTGGAAAGGTCTGGGAAAAGATGTGTTAGGAATTTGTGAGTGATGCTTACTCCAATGTAGTCTCCTAATATTCTTCATCCTTCATTTGCCTGTTATCTTTTTGTTGATTCTTGTTATGACAGCTCCCATCATCTACTTTTGTTGCCTAGTAGCAGGAGACAATCCTCTTCTGCAAAGTAGCAGTGTAGATATGCCTGACACTAGGGAGAAACCCATGAGCTCCCTATCCCAGAGCCCAGCAGAATTTTGTGACAGTGCATTCACACTGGATTTGAATAGAGAGCCGAATTACTTGGCTTCAGCACCAGGGAATTAGTAAATTGAAGAGACATTCATTGTGCTCACCAGCTGACTGTGAGATAAGGGATTGGGCAAGAGCTCTTCTACAGCTTGTGCCAGCCAAAAGAAGGATGATTAATAGGGCAGAAACAACCCAGTTTTCCAGTCAGCATAAGCCTCTGAATATGAAAGTTATTCCATAAACTAAGGTAGATCTTATGTACCACTCTTGCAACTCTTGGCCTTATCTTGGCTATCAGCCTGTAGCCACTGCTCCTGTAACACTCTGAACATGACTCCTGCAGATAAAAAGTTGGGACAGTTATGCAGTTATGCCCAGATAGTTTGTGCTCAGCTGTGTAGTGCTTCCTAGGATGATACAAACAGAAGGAGGCTGCTTCTGGCACAGTGCGTGCATCCATCCAATCTGGGTTTTCCCACCAGAAAAACCTGAGATCAGGGTGGGGAGTAATCATGCTGCATTGATGGCTGCCAGACTTCCTATTCATTGTGCTGCTATTATTTCCCAGGAGAGGAGGCTGCAGGGTTTCTGAAGAATATCTGTCTGTCTGCTGGTTTCTCTCTTTTACTTTATGGCTGTGTATAATAGGAAAGCACATATGGAAGCAGGCATATTGGTATGGATGCAGCATAAACAAAACACACAACAGAGTGAATACTTACATTAACATCTTACAGCTGTGCTTCTTTACACCAGTGATTGTCTCCCTGCTAAACCTGTGATTCATTTGTCCCAGAAAAATAAAGAATGCGTTTGAATCTTGGAGCAGCATTGGCCATCTGTAGCGCTCCAAAAGAAAAAAATTATCCTACTGTACTCCAGATTATATGGGCAATGTGCAAATATTATCCATTCTGTGGTATGTGCATGGGAAGAAAGTCTCCTAGAAGACTTAGACTTAGAAGAAAACAGAGTGGCATAGGTTGTCTGGGATTCTCAAGGCTGTGTGGATTTTGAGCCTGTTGTCTACAGTACAGAAGGCACTCTAGGACAGAACCTCACCAAGATAAAACAGCCAGTGGGCCCAGGAGCTCACGAGTCACCACCTGTCTGACAGAGGAACAATCTGCCTCATATCAGCAAACAGCAACTGCATCTGTGTTTCTTCACCAAATAAACCCCTGCTGGAATATCTGGCTTAGAAATAAGGGTCTGAGGGATCTCACCTAGACCAAGATCATTGCTGCATCTACAGCCATTAATGTTCTTTCTTGCCTTTACTATCTTCTCATCAGGCACATGGTAACACCAGCACTTGTAGTAGAGCAAACACCATGTGTCTGAAACATTAGTGAGGTAAAACCTTTTCTTGCTGCAGCTTGACTGTCACCTCGGTGGAAAACTCAGTCACAAGCAATTTGAACATGTACCTTTGTTCCCTTTATCACTTTACAGGAATCAACAGTGGACGATGCCCACATCAGGACAATCAATGCCCTGGCCATGAAACTGGAGAGACAGAACAAGGAGGAAACAAAAACAATCTATGAGCGCCGAAAGCAGCTCAATGAGAAGTGAGTGTGCTTTCAGATGTCCTGTGTAAAGCAAAAACAGGAAGGGAGAATTAGGTGTCTTCAGCTGAGATAAATGGAGGAATTGAAACATTTGTTTTCTTAATATCACAACTACCAAATATCAGACACTGGAGTTGTCTTTCCAGACTGCCAGAGCAGATAGCTTAGAAGGATTCTTAATCCAGAAGTGCCAAAGTCATGTTTCTAGCCTTGGAGTCAAATACTCTGTTTCACACCACTTGGCACATGAGAGTCATGAAGCTTAGACTCTTCCATTTATTCACACAGTTGTCCTGGTGAATTGCCCTGTGCTTTTGCTGCTGCACAACCCCCTATCTAAGAACCAAAAGCATGAAGATACTGATTGTGAGATCATTGAGAGCTTAAGAAAACTGGATCAGTACTTTTTAGCTTTTAACCCCATGCCATCCTGAAGACATGGAATAAATTCAACCAGATAACCTTCTCAGGGTAATGGTTTATCCCTGTGATAAGCCCCCTGCTATAGAGAATTTGGGGATCAATGCATGAGGTAGTTCAGAAAACCTGTGGTTTTGTTCAAATATGAGTATCATGAAACCCGTTTGTGGAAATCCTTACCTCTGATATACATCTTTAAAACATTATTTCCAACTAAAGGTGGAACAGTTTTCATGGTAACCTGAATGCATACAGGAAGAAGTTAGAGGGAGCCCTAGAGATTCATGCCTTAATCAGAGAAATAGATGACATCACAGAAAGAATTACTGAGAAGGTAAGTTTTCCAATTCTGATTAATTGAAATGGAAAAATGCTCTACCAGTCTTATTCTTTCAGGAAATAGAGGTAAAAATGCCGATCCTGAATTATAATTGTGATATTAAAAAAAAGAGGGAAAAAAAGACTATATAAAAGCTAATTATTTCATCAATGTAAGTAATTACATTTATTTAATTATGAGTCAATAGGTAAGTGGTACCACTTAAGGTTACAAGACTTTTGGCTTGAATTTTTAAAACAACTTTAAAAATCTATTTCTTCACTTTATGGTATTTAGTTTCTTGGGATCCCAAAGGCAAATTTTGCTTTTTGTATTTTCATAACACATGCCTGAATTTCTGTGCCACAATTTATTGTGAAATATTTTTCTGGTTTGGTATATGATAAAAAAAAAAAATAGGAGAGAAAGATTGAGAAATGGAGGGAGGCACAACTGTCTTTGTTTTACATGTGAATGGCCAGAGGCACCTTAAGCAGGATTATGACTGCTCAAAGAGGTGTGGATTCTTGTTTCATCTCTGTAAGGAGAGCAGACAATGTGCTGTGTTGATATCTAAAAAGACAATAAGAACATTCAGATGGCAATGCAAAGAGGTGAAGGAGGAGGAGGAAGCTCTTTGAAATAATTAAGATATGAATCCCTTTGTTTGGTGTAATCTTCACCATTTGCATATCTCAATGCCCTCTCCAGAGTGTATTGATACAAGCATTGGATTATGGAAAAGATGTGGAAAGCGTGGAAAACCTGATTCGAAGACATGAAGAAATGGAGAGAGAAATCAGTGTTATTAAGTCCAAAATGGAGGTAAGAAGTAGGGAAGTACAAAATATACTAAAAAAAATTCACTTTTTCTTCTTGAAAATATGGTGGAAAAATCATTGTTATTCTTCAGATTGATTAGCAGGAATTTTCAGCAATACAAGAAGTGCAGAATAAATTCCTTCTCATGAAAATACCAGGCTGCTTGATCCTACTTTATCTTATCAAATATTATTCTTCCTGATGCACAAAATCTAAGAAAAGTCCCTTTTTAATGTTCTCTAAGTCTCTGGCCCTCACCTGCAAGCCAGATCAGACTGTCATATACATTTTGGAAAGCATGGACTTCATCTTTCCCCCAGTTCCTGGATTTAGTTGAACCAAAATCACAACTCTATTTCTGTTCAGAATTTAAATGCAAACCCCATACTGCACGTAGCCAGAATTAGCATTTCATTTTCCTGTTTGTCCATATTCTGCAAAACTCTTTTCTAAACTGTAAACTAAGTTTTTTTACATTCAAAGTAATGCACAGAGATCTTTCTTCACATGGATGTTTGCTCACAAATGCTTGTGTATTACTTCTTGCATATTACACATCCCTTTGTATATTTTGCTATTGTAATTTAATTACCTGCCTTTGAGACCTAGGATCTTAAAAAAGAACTATTTTTCCTGAAAGGCAAACTCAGGAATGAATATAAGTATTTGGCATAAATTTACCCCACTATAAATCTCTTCCCAGCCACTGGAAGTGGAATCTTTCCGCCTTTCCACAAGGAATCCGTCCATAAATGACAAACTGACTATGAAGCAACAGGAGATGAAAAACAACTGGCTACGACTCCAGGGACAGGCCAAACAAAGGTGAAGACTTAGAGTTGTTTGAATATCTCTTAGCAGGAGCAAAGCTGCTCCCTGGGGTCTAAACCCTACTTGCCAGAGGTTTTTTAAAGGTTTTTAAGGATTTTTTACAAAGTTTACACAGGCACCTGCATTGGAAAAAGTGTGACTTGATACACAAAAAGCTCCACTAATGGGACTTTGGGAAAATTAATACAATGTTTTTGTGGTTTATCCCATTAGATAATGCTACTAAAATGCCTTCAGACTATCAAATTAAATCTATTATAAAGCCTTTGTGAAAGGCTTATTTTTTGGATGGTTCTTGAAGATTTTTTTTCCCTCGAATCTTTCTAAAACAAGAAAGGCTTAATCCTGATCTGTAATCACTGGTGTAAGCAACACATATGAAGGCTTTTTGTCCTTTCTTCTGCTAATGAACTGATGTAGGAAAATGAGTTAAGTATGTTGTCTTCAAGGCAGTGTGCATCTCCTGTGTTTTTGGTTAACATGAGGACTCTTAGGAACTGTAAGGAAAAGCTCGAATTAATTTCATTTGGCTTCTGTTAAGATATTTTCCTCTGTGAATGGGGAGGGAAAGGCAGCTAGATAATTCCATGTCACATAATGCTGAACTGCACCTTGTGTGGCAGGAAGGAGAAGCTGGCAGCCTCGTACCAGTTGCAGAAATTTAACTTGGAGATGAAGGAGATACTAGACTGGGCCCAAAACACCAGAGCTTTAATGGAAGCAGGGGGGCTGCCTAAAAGCGCAAATGAAGCTGAAAGTATGATTGAGGAGCATCAGGAGAGAAAGGCAAGTATCCTCTGTGGTTCCAATTGCACATCCTGGGAATCTTTCTGTGTGCACTGCATGCTTCTGTCAATAACATGGTAAAAAACTGTTTTCAGTACCAGGCTGGGGATAGAAATCACCTACATACTGACAAAACTGCCTCATGGGCTGTTGGATGGCTTGTGTCTCTGCAAAAAGGCTCATGAGCTCTCACCTGTACTGCTGTCCAAACCTGACAGGGGAAAACAGGTTCAGTCTCACATCATGCTCACTGCTCATCTCCTTATTCATATTGCCAAAGTTAATGCCAGCTAATCCTTGCTTTGAGCTAGATTTTTTCATGTGAACTTAATTTACCTGAGAAGAAAATAAAAACAGCAGTTTGTTTCACACAGAGAAGTAAATTAACTGAATGGTGCTATACATTCAGTTCTGAGACACTTCATATGCCAGTTAATTGTTATCTTTCTAATATTTTGGTGGCTAATTTGGCTAATACTTTTGGGGGTTTTTTTTCTAAAAGGAGTGATATTTTAATTAACACTAGGAAAAAAAAAAATCTATATTTTACTTTTTCCCAAGGATTATAGGTATCTTTCAGCTGTTGTGCTACATTATCTTTGCAATTATTTTACTTTTTCTAAAAATCCTGTTCAAAGAATAATTACTAATATCCAGTGCTTTGTGGGTCCCTTTATTAGCACAAGGAATTTGTAGATTCTGATTAATTTTCCAGTCCTGAATTTAGTGTGAAGTCTTTAGAGTCATCCATTTTAACAATGCTTTCTCATATCACTTAACATTGTTTTTGCTAAAAATTATTTGTGATATTAGAAATATCACAAAACACTGATGTAGTGTGCTCCAAATTTAAATGGTGTCAAGATCTTTAATATCTGATAATCAAGGAACCCAAATGGTTCTAAGGAGACAGTCACAGAGAAAAGGGGGAAATTTGCCATCATGTTCTTATGTTGACTAAACCAAAATTATAGGCAAGGCAAGAAGGAAGGTTCTCCTAATTCTGGTCAGTGGCTCAAACCAAAGTCCTTAGAAGAGACTAGAGTTGAACACAAGATGCTAATGTGACTTTTAAAAATATTTGAATTACGATTTTATAGCTGTGTTGTCTGTGATTGGGCAACACCACTACCACAAAAATCTCTAAAAGCAGCAGTTCTAATTTCAGAAATTTAATAGTACATGCCATAGTGTTTAAGGTGGTTTATGAGTTAATACATGGTATTGTTACAGTCCGTAGTTACTTCCATTTTCAAATTGCTGTCATTAGAAATTCCACATTCAGTTTGCAGTGGTCATAGTTACTTTTTATGCTTTCACCTTCAGGATGAATGTAATTCATTCCTCAGACCAGGTGCAAAAGTTAATTGTGTTTCATGTAACAACACAAAATGAAGTAAAACCATGTATTTAAACTAAAAATCTGATGACAACTTGTTTGTCTCCATTTGGGAGAGGAAAAATTCTGGGCACTGTTTCTTAAAAGAACCACTTTCATGTAGGAAGACTGGGGGATGATATTATGAATGTTTGAAATGGTATTCACTTATATCTCAACATTTTCTAATCTGTTTCTAACTAAATCTCAATTTTCATTTGTAGGAAAACAGTTGTTCCTAGACCAGTAATGTCATTTACTATTTACATTTATTCTCCCTTAGGCAATTCTGTGCCCTTCCAGTAACATAGCTCAAAGATGAATGATTTTCCATACAAATATTAGTGCTGGAAAGTTACAGACCAAACTCTTCCCCTTAAGGCTTGTAGTGGAAAGTGCTGGAAAGTTACAGACCAAACTCTTCCCCTTAAGGCTTCTGAATAATGGCTTTTCATAAATCCTTGACATCAACCTTAGTAATGTATTTTAGGAGGAGATTGAAGCCCGGGTGGAAAGATTCAATGCTCTCAGTGACTATGGTAAGGAACTTGCCAGTTCTGGTCACTATGCAACCCCTGAGATTCACCAGTGCCTCTCCAAACTACAGCAAGCCTGGTCTGAACTGATCCAAGCATGGAAAGAGCAATATATAAAATTGCTTCAGGCACAAGATTTACAGGTGAGTAAAATGACATTCAAGAGAGAATGCACATGCCACTGACAGTTTTTCTTGATATAAACAGCAAATTTATGAGATGGTAGAAAGAAAGATGTGCTAATGATACCCAGTGTTTAATCTACATTTCACTGGTTTCTGGAAGGCATACTGAGGGCCAAGCACATTCAGTGGTGACAACACTTTGAGAAATTTTACCTCTGCAAATCATAGAAATTCCTGTGCAATATATGCTAATATGTTTTTCAAAGACTGTAAAACTTAGCAAAATTTGGTGAAACTCTCATACATCTGGAAAAAGACACATACTTAAAACACAACATCACTATTCTTCCAAATTCTATAACCTTCCCAAAAAGACATGGAGCCAGACCAGTATTTTTTAAAAACTGAAGAAAAATTTAGCATGGAGGGAATAATGTATTTTTTCCTGGCTTTTTTCTTTTCCCTAATAAAAGAACTATTTTGGCTGCAGTTTTCCAGAAATACTTCCCTGTAACAGTCATCTCACTTTAAAAATTTCTGCTCAAACAGAGATTCTACAATGAAGAATGTCAAGTACTTAAAATAAGTGCTGGGCTACTGATCCCATCTAAAATCATCACATATATGAGAACTTAAATCTTATGGTATGGACAGTTTGAATGCTTTTTCATTTATTATGTTAATTTTTTAAATAACCATGAAAGTTTGTTTTTTTCTGAAAAGGTTGAAAGTTTTTGGTATACTCAGCTGCAGTCAGGTTAGCTTCTACTTTACAGCTTTTCAGCATATTGTCATGTTTGTGACTGTTGGTTTTTGCTCCTATACAGAAATTCTATGGCTATGTGGAACAGACTGAGAGTTGGCTCAGCAGCAAGGAGGCCTTCCTAGCTAATGAGGACTTAGGGGTATGTGCTCTGAGGAGTTTCAGTTTTCTCTGCAATCAGTCTGGAGGAGAGGGGACTGCACAATGATGTGCCCTGAATCTTCCTATGCACTTTCTCCTTCTGAAGTTACTGCTCTGCCCTGTTGGTGGTTTAGGATCCGATTTCTTTCCTTGGTATTTTACACAGGATGGGAATCTCAGCACTGACAGTTATGAAACAATCCAACTGCTCGGATTATAGCAGGAAAAGGAGACTGCATAGAAACGTAGAACTCCAGCATGGTTTGGGTTGGAAGGGGCCTGAAAGACCATCTATTTCCAACCCTCCTGCCATGGGTGGGGACACCTTCCACCAGCCCAGGTTGCTCAATGCCTGGTTCAGCCTGGCTTGTCTTATCTGACCCAAATACATTTGCCAGCAGTATGCAAGCCATGACTGTCCCTGCTGGCACTCCCAGTGTAGCTTTAAATTACCTACCACAGGTATCAGTAACTCTGCAGTAGCTGAAACTGCAGAGTGATGCGTGGGCTGCAAGAGCTGTTCAGTATGCTGGATATACGTTCTGACACTTAGCTCACCCTACACCTCATATAGGTGATGCTACTCAATTAGTTGCCTCTGCAGGGGCTAGAAAAACATCTCAGAATTCAGTGTATTTGCAGTGCCTTCATTACAGTATATGGGACTTAGAAGGACTTCTAATTTCTGCACATTTAGCTCAGTGATGTGCAGAAAATGCTCTATGAGTAATTTCCTATCCAATGACTCATGTAAACACCCAGAAGTTCAGTGTTTTTTCTGACCCACTTGATGTGAGCTTATTGCTTCTTTTAGAATAGGGGAGAAGCAGAGTTTACTGCGTTAACAACATTTTGACACCACTGGTTCTATAATTAAAGTGCAGAGGGGTGCTGAAAAGAGAACTCTGAGTCATTAAGCTTGGGATTCACAAACATTACAAGAAGTGTTTTTCTCCAGATTAACTGTAATGTCAGACTCCAGTCCTCAAATTCAAATCTGGATCTGAACTCTTCCAAATTGTTGGAAGCTGAAACTGAGACTCTAATTTTAACCTTTTTCTGTGACATATTTGTTCACTTAACTCTGATTTCAGTTTGGCATCTCACATTTGCTTTCAGCATGGCATCCGTTTTATGAGTGATTTTAAATTAGGGACTGATGTTTTAATTCTTGAGACATTGTGTGTTCTGTGCAGCACAACAATATGCACTAGAAGCTAAGCATGCATCACTGAAATAATGATCTCAGACCTTCCATGGAACATTATTTAGGTCCCAAGTGTCAGATCAATGCCAATGAATTCCAAAGAAAAATAAATTTTCCTGACAGCTAGTTTGTAGATGTGGGGTAAATGCCATTTACCTTCTGGATTGTCCATGTTTTGGATGGAAAAACTCTGACTGAAAGCAGCTTCCTTTTGTTGAATTCTATCCAGGACTCAGTGTCTAGTGTGGAGAGCCTGCAGCGGAAACACACACAGTTTGAAAAAGCCCTGGAAGCTCAGATGGAGAAAATCGATGAGATGGCTTCATTTGCTCAGCAGCTAACGCAGAACAAGCATTATGACTCAGAAAATCTTCCTGCTTTGTGCCCAAATTGGCCATACTTCATCAGGAGGCTTCCAAAATGCAATTAAGTGGAGGGTGAGCAGGGTCCAGAATAAGGCAGTTTCTCTGTAATTCTGTATTCTGGCCTGGCATTAGGGACAGTGCTGCCAACAGAAGGTCTGCCATGCCATTAAATACTTCATTATCATTAAACGCCATCAAGAAAGGTAATTTGCTAGACAACTGCTCTTCTCTGCTCTAATGGGTTTGATCTTTAAGCCCCACTCAAATTATCCATTAGGGCATTTGCAAATTTTCTGACCAGATCTTGCCCTTTCATGCAAAATACTTTATTCCTAGTAGCAATTTGCATATTGATCATCTTAAACAGGCACTGAAGTAAAAGAAGTTGTATTCTCTGCTTTGGTAGATGAAAAGAGCTGCATAAAAGTTATGAAAAGAGACTGGAGATCTCTTATGATTCAAGTGAACACAGATTCAAGTGATCAGATTTATTAATATGGTCTAATTTGATATGATTTAATAATATCTCACATCTGCATTAACACAAATAAAGTCCTGCAGGTCCAGAATTGGAAAAAAAAAAATTAAAGGATGGTACAGCTTTGGTTCATCCATGACAAATGCCATCACACTTGCAGGATTTCCACATAAGAAACGTGCTGAGTTTATGTTCTCTTGGGCAGTAATGGTGATTTCTACAGGCAGATACCATATATACAGATTTTGTGGATAGTTTAAACATATCTATTGGCTAACAATCTTTCCTGTAGTGTCCTGGGCACCTTCTCTGACAACCCAGATCAAGTGGATCTGCATATTATGGACAGTTCCCTCCTAGGGAATGGAGGATTAGATCATGAGTGTTTTAGAGGTGAGATTTATCTAATTCACTCTGTGACTTTTACCTCACACATCTGTCTTCATCTCAGAAAACAGAGACTACTGGAGAATGCTGCTGCTCGCAGACATTTGCTAGAGGAATCAAGGCTTCTGCAGAAGTTCCTGAAGAATTCTTTTGAGGTACAATTACTCAGGATTCATAATAGTCTGGTTTCTTAAAGCATGCTGTGCTGCATAGATCTGAATCCCCAGACAGATTTACTGTGAGAAAAATCCAGGAACTGAGCCTCAAATGAGATAATATTGGGAAATATGAGGATAAGAATGAAGGGATATTTTTTTCTTCTTCCCTCTAGTCTAGTCTAGTAAATGAAAGATCTACCATACATTGGACAACAGCAAATGCAGGAGAAATAAATACATTAAAAGGGAATGTGCCACCATTAAAAAAAAAAATTTAAAAAGAAGAAAAAAATTAGTTATTTTATTGTGAAATACTGATAATGGGTTAGAAATAGGGAGATCATTGTCTATGCTTCCCTATGCACACATGTGCCCGTGCATTTTCTCACCTTAGGGAGAAATGGGGAGTGTGGGGGCTATCTGATGGAGACAGCTCCATTTCCAGGCAACAAACATCTAGGGGTGGCTTCATGAAGGGCAAGAGAACCTCTGGGGAAGCAGAACCTCTGAAAGACAACTCATTTCAGTCCACACTTACCAGTTCCCTGTTTTGTACATGTAAGAGAAGAGCCTGTCAGGCTGGAGCTGAAGAAACTGAACAAACACTGAAGATTTTGTCTTCTGTTTTTCCCTCCCCACAGGTGGCTGCCTGGATTAATGAGAAGAATAGCATTGCCCAGGATGATAGCTGGAAGGATCCAAGCAATCTGCAGACCAAACTACAGAGGCACCAGACTTTCCAAGCAGAGATCATGGCCAATAGAAACCGTCTGGACTCCATCAAATCCGTGAGAGAAGCAAGGGTTTTGGGCAACTGGCATGAAAGACTCTGCAGACAGTCACCCTCTCTCTCTGACTATCTAGTGTGAGCTTGCTATGCATAGTCACTGTGCACACAGTGGAAACAGATGGGGGCCTGCAACAAAAGATTCAACCTACTGTACTGACTTTAGGGACATCTCTCTGGGTGAGTGCCACTTTAGAGAGATATCCTTGTTTCTTTCCAGCAGAGAACCCACCTGGTTGGATACACAACCTTAACAAGTCATACAAGATGTATCAAAAAAAAAAAAAGGATAGAGTTTTCAAGTGCTTCCTTTGCAAAGACATGCTAGTAGGCGAGATATGAAGGAAGCCTGACAAGATTTGTCATATATTTGGCAGAAGCAGTGATCAGATGATAAGTTTGGAAGGATAGACTGTTACATGTTTATTAATTTTATTTTCAGTGCAGTGCGTACTAGATGTATTTTGCAATAGATTGCTATATTAAAAGTAGATTGCCCCCTCCAGATTCACCTTAAACTTAAAAACGCATTCTTTTCTTTTCTTTTCTTTTCTTTTCTTTTCTTTTCTTTTCTTTTCTTTTCTTTTCTTTTCTTTTCTTTTCTTTTCTTTTCTTTTCTTTTCTTTTCTTTGGATCTTGTGTCTTTTCCAGAGATAGCAAAGCTGCCTTGCTGCTGTCCATCTACAAGTGTGTCACTTGATACAATCCAACCTGATTCCTCAAGACCATAACTGCAAAGAATCTACTAAGTGGGGACTGACTGAATGGAATTAGCAGGATAATTGGAGATCCCTCAGAAGGAACAGGATTTGTAGGCTAGGCTCCATTCTGCTTTCTGCTGCTGGTTTAGATCCAGATTCCTGCAAGACATACTGAAGAAAAATGTGTTACTCATATGTGTCAGCTCTCTGCATCTGTCTCCAGGGCATCTTTTCTCCAGCACATTGAGAAAGAAACCTACAGCTGCTTTTCATTTCAAGTCCAGGCACATAAATTCTCATACTTGCTGGGCTATCAGAAAATCATGGTTATAAAACAGACCTCTCCCTTTAAAAGTTTGGGTTTTTTCAAGGTGCTATGTCCATGATCTGTATGATCTATATTTGTGCAACACAAGTAAGATAGGCTGTTGTGTTTAATGCATCTGATTCTCTTCTTCATTTGCAGCACCATTATATATGGGAAGAGTTCACCGAGCACTGGGAAGTGGCTCCATGTTTCTGTGCAATCTTTACTGAGCGTGACCGAGATTTTAACATCACATTATCTGTCCTAAAAGTTTCCTCTTGCTTGTTCTCAGGGTCTTCATTTTCAGCGAAATGTAGAGGACCAGGAAATGGTTGGAAGGTGTGGAAAATGACCTGAAAGCACCTATAATGACATCTGGGGTTTTAGAGGAACTGGAGGAAGACATTCCTGAATATTCTTCTTTCCTTCTCTACACTGTTCTGAAATGAGTGTTCTGCATTCATTCCTTATCAGTCTGTAGACCTCACTGGATAATCTTTAAAACCTCAGTTCTTCCGAGATGTTGATGAGGAGTTGGCTTGGGTTCGTGAGAAGCTCCCATAGGATTATGGCATTCACAGTCTTTAGAATCAGAGAACACTGAACTCAATTTGTCTCTAGCAAACTTCATCTGCTGTGCTCTGGCTAACTTCAAACCCCGCCTTTTCAATACAAAATAGATTTTACAAACATATTTCATGGGCTCTTTGGTCTTAACAAAATGCTTTCAAACTCAGTAAGTTTGTAAGTATCCCAGGGTGCTGTTTTGTAAAACCAAAAACTCAAATCGTGACCTAAACCACTACACTAGGCCTGCTAAGATTTTCTAGAGCTTTTGGTATTTATATTAATAAGTGCCATGTCAAGTGCCTTTAAGGGAACCTGTGGGATTGAGAAGACAGGAGATCCTATAATTGTCAATGTGTGTGATATACAGTCAAGAGGAAAGCCCAAGTGTCTGGTGCAATCATTGTGAAACAGTATGATTAAAATCACAAATGTTGTTATGTGTGCAATTACTCCTGAAATTTATGAGCTCATTGGCATGGAAAGCAAGTAATTAAGTTCACAGAAGAAAAGAATGCTTGAGCTGAATTAATCTGAAAAAATATTTCAAATAACTGAACAGAAACCATAAAATCAGTGTATAATAAAATTCTCTGACATTTTACTTACTATTCTTCTGGAAACAGGATTAAAATATAAGCTTTTAACTCTCAGCGTGTTATTAGCTACAGTTTAATTGTTGGTTTACAAGCAAGCAAATGTCAGAATTAGCATAACAGTCAGGAACTGAATAGACTGTTGGTTCCCCCACTATTGTTTGTCCTAACGAGCCAGATTTGCAAAATTCAGTCCTTGGTTTGTAACCTTTCCTTATAGAGGGCATCTCTTCTATATTAACCAGCACTAACTCTGAACCTGCTTATTCGTAGCTATGAAATTAAACAGAACAATGCTAAAATTGTGGGGCTTGTTTGCCTCAGGGTGCTCAGGCACGGGTATGGGGGATGCATATTGTTTCAAAATCTACAGTCTTCAAAAATTGATTTCAAGTAAAGCCTTTGAGAATTGGTTCAGGTGGTTTTCTTCTCTCCTTGTCCTGTTGGCTGCCTGGCACTCATGTACCCACAGCATTTACAATGGCTGCTATGCAAAGATGCATCTTCTACAAAAGCATTGGCAAGTGATAAATAATAATGGGCAGGCAAATTGGTCATTCCTCTCTAGACATGTTTTAATTCAAGAAATGCCATATAATGGAATGGAACAGGGCATTTCAGTGGAATCTACAAATAAGAGGTTTGTGATTAGAACCTCCCATAGAAAGCAAATTTATAATGGAATTATATATGCATGACTACATTTTCTGGAATAAAAATTCCGTAACTTCAATTTTTGTAATTATCATTTTCTCAGAGGCTTATGCAGTCCTATGAGCCCATCTGTTCCTAAATGAGGTAAAGATTTATTTTTTATTTTGCCTCTCTTTTCTTAAAACAACTGACACCTATATTGAATGGATGTAAGTGTGCAGAAAGAGCCTATCTGGTAAATATGGATACAGTGAAGAAATTACAATTACTTTCCCAGCTAATCAAGTGAGTAACATTTAACTGCAATTACTGGATTCTGGTACACATTTTTTGGAAGAGCTAGATGAATTAGAGGAAGTCACCTAAAGGTACTCTCTATTTTCGCTGATGCGTCAGTGCACCACTGCTTTCAGTTTTCCAGATTTTATACAGCTGGGGGCAGAGAGGAGCTCTGATTATGGGAAGAATGAAGAATCCACACAAGTTTTGCTTCGCAAACTTGAAGCTACCAAACTGGACATGGATAGTTTCAGGTCGCGGATTGAGAAAGTACAGGAGACAGGGATAATACAAAAGAAAAACAGATTTCTCCTCCAGGCTAACAGAAACACCAGAGAACGCAAATACAGAAAAGTTCAACTATGTTTGATGGCTCATTCAAAAGTAAGAGTTCAGGGATATATCAATCCCCAAATTCATGATTTTTTTATTTCTAACAACAGTCCAATTAATTGTGTTCTAATTCCAGGAAAAATTTTTATGATATACTTTAATTTCCTGACCTAGCTGCTCTAATGGCACAGCATAACTCACTCCATGATGTTATCTGGTTTATCTGTATTTTAAAGGTGTTGCAAATTAAACCTGTAAGAAAAAACAGTCTTTAAAAGGAACAATAAAACATACTTTTGCTTCCTATCCTTTGCAGTTCAGTAATACTTTCAAAGCTCCAGGGGATCCTAGCAGACTATCAGTCTCTCCTACAGAAGTCTGACACCCAGAGAAAACGCCTGCAAGAACAATTCCAGCTCTATCAGTTTGAAAGAGAATTCCAGCTGGTGGATGCATGGCTTTCCAGTAAACTGTCTGTAGCAGAGTCAGACGACTATGGGCAGATGTTGAGGTAAAAGAAAATAAAAGGCTGCATGTATTGTGCAGCTGCAATTTGTGTGTAGCTGCTGACAGTGAAGCATGTTACAGTGACAAAAAATAATCAGAGCTGTTATCCCTACAGCAAGAACTCAGACTGGTTTCTGTCTGCTTTGACAGGGTCACTGAAGCAGCATCCTCCAACAGAAAATTAGATGTATCAGAAAATTAGCTTTTCTTGGGATAAGGTAGAGCCCTTCATTGCTTGCCCCATAAATTTCAGGATGCGGTTCATTTTACCGAGTGACATAGAATGTTAAATGATCAAGACAACAGGATGTCTTCTTCTTCATTTGGATTTATAAATGATTTGCACTTGTAGATTGTAGTACTTTTATACAGAGCAGAGAAAGTGATTCCTTCTGTCTCTCTCATGGAGGTAGGCAGAAATTCTTTTATCTAAATCTGTGTTCCAATTTATTCTGCAGGCTGGAGACGTAAACCAAGAGGATGTCATCCAGAAGAGAGCTAAAAATCAATGACAGCTAAGCAGAGGAGGAAACACATGAAAAACAGGGGCATTGATTTCCCTGCAGTCTCCCATGTCCTTTCTTTCCCAAACCAGTGCATTGCTCACGTTGGAACACAAGGTTTACAGAGATTGTTCTCCTTAATTCACTGCTAACTCCAGTTTCCTGAAAAAAAATCGAAGGGTATGAAAGAGAACTTTAGGCAGCTTAAATCCAGATGTCCTCAATCTTTTTTTTCTTTCACTACTGTTGCATGACCTGTTGCATAGGAGGTAGCTCGAGCCCACTATTTCCTGTTAGCAGAAATAAAATTAGTTTAATAGCAGCCCATGAAGTTCACCAGTATGACCACGATGTGGATGAAGTAAAGGGCTGGATGCAGGAGAAAGAAGCAGTGGTGGATATAGAAGATTATGGATATCTTCTCACATTGGGTATATAATTAATGCTTTTGCTTTTTAGGATGAACTTCTCTTCTAAAATCTACTCCAAGCTGTTATTATAATTGCAAAGGTGACAGCTGAACTATAGGAAACTTCAGCTCCACATTCACCAAAAGAATCTGTCTCATGTCTAAAGAAGTTTCTTTTATGTTTGATGGTGAATAGGGCATTACAGGAAAACTGAGAGGCATTCATATTTCCAGCCTCTGTACAGCCAGAGGGTAGAAAATATATGCATCATCGTTAAATCCACTTTTGATAGAGGAAGGCACGGATCATACACATCCTTTGTGTGACAAAGGCGGAGAATTCCATCACATGTTGGAGGACAGGGTTAGATAGTGAAGTAATTTGTACACCTGCATAGACACCAGTGCCCCTTTTTCTCAGAGTAAAAGCAACTGCATTAAAGATAATCTCCTAGAATAAGTAATGAAAAAGTTCACCTATGACAGGAGTAGAAATAGAGAGACAGTGAAATGGTTACCACTGACTATTGGACATTTACTATGCTAAGGGATAGATTCTGAGCTCAGGTAAATCATGCAATAGTTTGTGCCAGTTGAGAGTTACGAGTAGAAAATGTTTGTAAGAAGTATCTATCAATATGCTTCTTTCCATGAGTGCTCTTTGTGCATTGAAGTACTTTCATGTATGGTGGTAAGGTTTTGATGGGCATCTGAAAGCCTCTGTGTTCCTTTACAATGTATAAAATATTGTTAAATTGTGTAGCCTGGGCAATTGCAATTATTTCTTTCTATAATTTGAATGCAGAATGCTTCAGTACGTACAGATCTACTCTGTATTTTTAAAGGCTCTGTATGGCAGCACTGGGAATCCCAGGCACCAAGCCACTCACTCCCTTAGGTCACAGTAGGATGGGGAAGAGGATCAGAAATTAAAAACAAGCAAACAAACCAAAAAACCAACTAATTTGTTGGAAAGAAAATTCCTTGGCTTAGGGTAAGCTCTACCCAGCAACAGCCAAAACGTGTGTTGTCAACATTATCTCGTACTAAATCCCAAACTCAGCACTGTACCAGTTACTAAGAACAGAATTAACTCTAATCAATATTAATACCTTTTGCGAGCAAATGAAAGTCTGTATACATGTATCCACAGCCGTGGGATGTGTGCATTCCCAAATTTCCAACAGATTCAGATTCTTTCCTTTTTACCCTTTGTCTGTGTTCTGTAGGGCCTGGGCCAATGAGATGCATGCTCTGGTGATATCTGAGGAACTGGCAAACGATGTCCTGGGAGCAGAACTGCTCATCAAGCGCCATGAGGAATACAAGCGTGAGATAGAGAAACAGTGGCTGAAATATGAAGAAATGCAGCGGGCAGGAGGTGACCTGATGAAGAATGGCATTTCATGTCTGAAGAGGCTGAACAGGACGATCAGGTTCTTTACTATTAAAAGCTATGTAGTTCATGTGACACATAGAAAAAGAAAACACATTTTAAAGTTCTTATGCTACATCACAATGTAATTCCTCAGAAATGTCCAAAGGCGCAAGAATGTTAAAATTTCTGTGATTTCATTATCAATCAGGATTATATTATTTCTGTTGTAGAAAGAACAAGACAACTTTCCACAGTTGAAGTCTCTCCATTGTTGCCTTGACCTAAGTGCATGCATTTCTCTCTCCAATTTAATGCTATAATTCAAGTAGGAAAAAAAGAGGACTCAGATATCTTTTCAAATTATGCTAACACCACAAAATTTTCAAGACTAAATCAAGTCTGATTGGATTTTTCAGCTCCTGGCATTACACTATTATTTTTCTAGATTGAAGAAAAACTGTTAGAGCTGTCAGAGCTGATGAAGAAGGTAAAGGAGAGCTGGGACATGAGGAAAGTACTATATGAAGAAAATTGTTTCGCCCCTATGGGGTGAGTAACACCATGCAGCATTACTGAGCACTCTGTGCCCCTTAGCCATGGGGAGCCCTGTCCTCTTGCAGAAGTGAGCCCAGGGCAGTTGCTGCATTTGACATGGTGATGGGCTCCTGGAAGTGGTGGCTTCCAGGGGATGGTAGAAAAATTCCTTTTTACATACCAGCATCCATTTTTATTTGTTGGGTTTTTCCCTCATTGTAGACTGTCTTCTGACAATTTATAAGATTGGAAAACTTTGGAGAGATGGAAGAAGCTCTTCTGTAGCAGGGCAGGAAGTGTCTAGCACAAGCTAGAGTCCAAGCTCAACCTTCTAACAGCCTTGCAGAAAAGGGAAGGCTGGTACTTGAGCTCTTTCTCTCCTACACAGCAGACAGACTGCAAGATACTTTTTTAAAATGTAGATTCAGTTTTTCATACATCAACAGGGGTTTAGCCAGTTACAAAATTTTCAGAATCCTCACATGGCCAAATAGAATGGATCAGAATAGATCTGAAAATCTTAGGCATAATGGCTTCTTAATGGACTTGATTTTGGACTTCTGTATGTGGTAATTTTTCCATTTAGGATTCAGTCTGATAATCTAAGAAACACCATGAGTTGAGAAGTGTCCTGTGTAAGAGATGGGGCAAACGAGTAACCAAAGCTGAAATATTTCCAGCAAGACCTGTATGTGGATCAAAAGAGATCAACTAGCTTGAAAAGGCTGAGTTCAGGGGAGAGGACAGAAAGGGCCTTTTTATTGGCAAGGCTTTCCCTCCTATTAAAAAAAAAAACAAAAAAATTAGAAGGGCAGAATTCGCTGCACAAAGGAAAAGAACCTCAACAAAACAGAAATGAAAGCTGAGACAAGGCCGGTCCAGCTACACCAAAGATGGTAGGCCCACAGGCTGCATCTTTGGAAAGACACGGTTCTTCAGGCTCTCCTTATACCGTCTGTGTGAAAGTCACAGAGTCCATTCTGGTGGGTACCTCCTGGATTCAAACAAGAAGCATTTTATGTGCCTTTGCAATTCAAACACTTTTCCACAAAGACAGTTGACTTAAGCTGCTATGTACAGCTTTAAACTACTTTTAATTTGCTAAGCTTTATAGCCTAGGTCTTATCTCCTGTTTTTCTTTCCTGAACTAGAGGCTATTCCTGCTGCTGAACACTCAGCAGAGTAAAACGGAGGATGATTTACCTCCCTCTGTGTGAGGACATTGGCTCAATAATTGTGGAGGGTATGGATAACTCAAACAATTTAAGTTGTAAAATGTATGTAATAATATAAAAACAGTGTTAGTTAATTATCACACTATGATAGAGCAGATTTCATAAGTAAATTGTTGAGAAGATTTGAATTATCCTCAGAAATTTAGCATAGGCCTAAGGGCCATTTTAAAAATGTTCTTGTATGTCTCAGGTTTCTGCAAGTCTCCAGAACATGGAGGGTTTCCTAGAGAACGAAGACAACAGGTAGAAATAAATCCAATTTCATTTTCTTGAGTTATAGTCCAGATCTGGTCTGACTTCTTCAGGATAAGCTCTTGCTGAAGAGGAGCTCAGTAGTGCGGGTTTTCTTCAGCTATCCATCATGGGAATCAGCAGAACAGGGTCTGTCTACAGTTAATGGATTTGTATACCAGAATCTAGGTGTATAAACATGTTAATTACAGTTTCTTAATTAGATTTTGTAATTTCTCACTGTGCTAGAACAATAATTATCTCTGAATGACCAAATTGTCAACTTTATTCACTGGCATAAGGGGGAAATTCAGCAGTTTTTCAACTGAACAACCAACCTGTAAGCTTCCAGAAGTACTCTTTTAAGGTACATCTTATTCAAGGATTGTCTTCAAGATATAATGCCATCGTCCTTGGTTCCTCTGTGGCTTATCCTATTCAGTGATCTTAGAATTAAAGTTAGAAGCATGAAGAGATGGGTGTGTAGACTGCCTGCAGGTTAATATGGAATTGAATCCTAGCAGAAAGGAAGCAGTCCTGTCCCTCAACATTTCTGGTGCCAAATGTGAGAGGCTGGGACTCTTTGAGGACCCCTACATAGTGGCTTCCTGAGATTATAACAAAATTGTTACTGAGGGGGCACAGACAAGGAAAACACACAGCTGAATTCAGAAACCTGGCTTGTTTAAATCAATTTTTCTTGCATTTGGAGTCCATACAAGACCGTGACACAAGCCTCAATCACCACCCTAAGCTCCATCTTACTAAAAGCAAGAATAGAAAAATGACATTTGAATTCCAGACAAGCCAGACTGCTCAAATTAAATAATTCAGGAATGGGGAGCAGTGAAGCGGCTGTGAGTTAACTACAGCCATGTAACAACCAACAATTCTATTTGCCAATTCTTTCTGGAAAGCTCCAGGAAAAAAAAAAGGCCTGAGGTGTTACTCATTTTTAATAGAATCTGAAACTTAAATAAGGCACAAACAATCAGTGTTTCTGTGTAAAAGGAGAAGAAAAGTAGGATAGCAAGGAGGAATTCTAGCCCCCAGACAGCAAGCTTCACATGCTAAGGTTTATGCAGTCTGAAGCATCCTTCTTGCTCTCTGCTTGCAGTCCTCTCCTCTGCACTGCTTCTCCAGGGGTATAGGCACTTTACACTGAGTTCATGTAAATACTTTATGGGCACATGCAACATCTAGAGTTTAAATTTGTACTCAGTCTGATTCAGATCAGTCACAGGCATCAACAGGTGAGCTAATAATTTCTTTTTTTTTTTCTAGTCTTCTCTGTTTTTGCTATTACTGAAGGTTTTACCACAGGAGGGAGATTTTGTTCTAGGCTCTCCCTACAGATCTTCCCAGTTTCTTCCATTAACAGTTAAAAGACACACACAAATTCTTGCTCCATGTTCCCTAAAGGAACAAGGACCAGTCCTGAGCACAATCACCTTAAGAAGAATAGGGGAAAAGACATCTACGTACTGTTAACCCACCTGCGGTTTCTTGTATTAGCAGCACTGTGAATGCACCAAACATGCCCCAATTATGTACTTTTTGCAGCAGCAGAGCTTTCTAGGTGGTTTTGGATTTCAAACATAATCTAGTTAATCCAGAAGGCCAACTTCTGTGCAGCTCTGTTTTACATTGCTCAGCATCCTTCGCTATCATCTCTTTAAGTAGTGGAGAGCTATAAAGATATTCCAAGCTTCTAGCTCAAGGCAGTCCAAAGCAAAGCTATCAAAATACTTTGCCTGTGATGTTAGGGATAGAAGACGATAAAGGGAAAAATCTTCCGTGTGTGAAAGTACAATGCTCTGCACTCTATTAGTGAATTATGTTGTCCTACATCCAGTTTACATCTGTGGGAGAACCAGCTAGACCCAATACAGTTTGCCACTGTTCCATATATATGCCTGCTTCAAAGCTGACCCCAACTGCGGGGCTCTTGTGGGCTTAAAACTTGGGGGAAGGAGATCCTCAGTTTTTGTTGTAACGGTTCTACAGCCTCCTGATCTTGGCAGGTTTGTTATTGAGGATATTGTATTTCTCATCATTCCATCTCCGAGTGACCACGCTTTACCCCTGCAGAGAAGGACAAAAGCCACCACAGTGAGATGAATCAAGTTGGAACCCCTCCCAAGCCTGTTTTCGTTTTGGCTACATTTCTTTGCTGCTTTTTTTGTCTGTCTCCTTGCAGTCTGACCAAATATTATCAGCAGGGCTACAAAAAGACTGCTGAGATATTCCTTATGATTTCAACCAGAACCTCATGAGAAAGACACAATAAAGGGTTTCTGAGTCAGGGTGCTAGGCACAGGCCACCACTAGAAGTGGCTGAATTAAAAATATCCAATGTTGCTTCACTGAGCTTCACAATACTCAGAGATTTATATTATCTATGCATCTGCCTCATGCACACAAAACATAGTTTGGAACTGCTGCATGCAAATGGGCCTTTCAGAATTTAAATAGTTAAAAATAGTGATTCCAAAATCTTCACCTGCTTTACGCGAAAATTTCTTCTTCCCAGCCAGAAAAACTCCAGCACTCTGCACATTCCTCTTGGCAGGACGTGGTGTCAGGCACAAGTGAGGAAGACCTGCAGCTCTGCTGCAAGGGGGCGGGCTGGTGTCATCCTATGCTGTGGACACAGAATGTCATGAAGTTAAAACTCTACGAAAAGAATCATGTTTGCTCAGGTATCCTGGAAATATTGAGGCATCTATCCCCTACAGAAAAAAGAGCCTTACAGTTTCCATAGTTCCATTCTTGAAAGAAGTTTCTTTCCTGCTGCTTATATTCATGGTGATAGCATTATCTCTGCAAGGGCAGAGCCTTGAACACATTCCCCAAACCATAATCAAGGGATATATGGCTTGAAAGTGCCGCACCACTGGTGTTGATGAAATAGCCAACATCTATCAGACAAAGATATTTCTGCAGCGGTGTCAGATTGTTAGGGAAACCGTCCAGCACAGTGTCTGAAAAACAGGTTAATATAGTTAGTGGGCATTTTTGGTCCCCCCTAAGAACTGGGAAAAATGCAAACAACAAAAACAATTTCACAGTGTAGCAACATAACTAAGAAATGCAACACATCATTGCACTTTTGCATTGCTCAAAAGTCTGACTTCAACTTGCTTTTAGTAATCAACTAAAAGGGGATTACACCAACTGGTAAGTTGAAATCTAAAGCCAGTTTTGATAGCTAGCCTCTTACTCTTAGGAGCCTCCAGCTTCCCTCTTCAGTAGGTTGACAGAATCTGTTGAAGCATGATTCTAGCTTGTTCCATAGCCTGGAATGTTTCACACCAGCTTGAAGTAATAATTTGTAATTTTTCCATTCCCTCATAGTCAAGTCTTTACAAAAACCACGTTTCTTCTAAATGTCTCAGAAACCCTTGGAAGCATGAATGCTACTGTAAAGGCATTATGCTAATTCCAGACTATTAGTTCAATTTCTCATCAGGAAAATTAGGCATTGAAAGACTTGTTTTAATGTATCAGATAACCTGAGCTGCAGGGAAGCCTTTAAATTTCTGCTCACTGGAAACCTGAATTTTTCCCCTCCAGACTTCCAGTTTCTCTTTTCCCACTCTGGATTTCATGCTTTTCACATATTTTACTTTATTTGTAGAATATCTACCCTGAGATAGTCATTAGTGTTCTTATGCTCGCTTCCTTTTGTTTTTTCTCTTTCTTTCATTTGTTTTTACCCCGAAAACTGTGTAGCAAGGGCAGAGAGCGACAAAACACATTGTAACTTGCCTAAAATGAGAAAATGCAACTTGCCAAAGAGAAGGGAAAGAAGGCAGAGAACTTTCTTGTTGTACTTGAATAAGATGCTGGGATTATAGGAAAGTTTCTGATGCAGAAAACCTCAGCTCCATCACCTTGCTATCATTTCACAGATTGCTTCTTAGGTTTTGAGGTAAAACTATTGCTGTTTCCTCTGCCTGCCTACAGAGAAAAGGCCATAGAACATCACGTCTATTTTTGTTTTGTCTGGATGGATAATTTATCAGGCAGAACCAGACACATGGGTAATCAGATCCTTGCAACTAGTCCTTTCCTTTATCTGATCCACATAATAACCTGCTGTTTTATGCTTCTGGTGTTACCTTTGTTTCTTGACCTCAGTGGATTCTCCCCTCAGAGTGACAATTTTCTTGACACAAATTATAGGTATCTTCTGGAAGTGAGAGAGCAGCCCATGGATTAGTTCATTTTAGCCTGTTACCCTAAAGAAACAGACACCATGAACATAGGCCCAACTCAGTTGATTTCCAACCCTGAAAAAATAGATTTCCAAAGCTAAAAAAACAAAATCTGAGATGTTACCTTGTTGCAGTTACCTTTCCATTCAATAAATTTTTTCTGATGGATATAATCCTTATGAAACTCTAAACCTCTCAGGAAGTTATGCGACTTTCCCAGTAGTGGCTGCCAGAACCTTTGCTGGCTAGCTGCCCTGGTTGTCTTCCTGTGGGTCCCTCTCATCCCTGCTTCTTGCAGGCTGCTGGAAAACATGTGCACATGGCCTATGTCATTTACCAAAGAGATATTTAGTTTTCTTTAAAGCAGGCACAGCTTTTGTGTTTTCTCTTTCATTGTACTAACATGAAGCATGCCTCTGGGGAAAAAAGCGAAGAGAAAAGGACATAGCAATCATTCTGATAGAGATTAAAATCATGCTGGAACCAATACAAGCCATCCAGCAAATTCCTAGTAAAGATGTTTGTCCAAAGACCTGCAAGTCAAACCACATGTGAAAAGTACTGCACTACCACATGTTAACAACTGACTATTGCAAACATCCATGCTACACATTATTAGCCCACCCAACCTGACCTCATCATGACACACTTAACACTTCAGTGCTTTTTCTAACAAAACAAGAGGTATCAGTCACACAAATGATGTTGTAGAAACTTTCTTGTGTACTGTGAGAGAACCTAGGCTTGGAAAGCATGGTGAAGCCATGTAAGCATAAAGGCCTTCTTAAAACTGATTTATTCAAGAAATCTCAGGTAGCTCCTGCCTTTGTGGCTAGATGACATATTTGATTCTCAGCTCCTTCCAATTCTATCCCAGTAATACTTTGTCTAGAAATATAGTTTATGAAGTTGAAGAGTTGGAGACTGATCAGGGCAGGAACGCTTATTTTTCTTCAATCCCTCTCCCCCATCTTGTTTGATTAGAATGTAACAGGAACCATGCTGCAACTTTACTGTCCAGGGGAAGGACGACAGGAGGAAAGAAGATACACAAAGAGCAGAAGTGTATGAAAGGCATAAAAAGCTCATTGATTTAAGACCTAAAGCAGACATGCTGGCAAGGAATGTTGCGCCTAGCAAATGTCATGCTTTCTATGATGCTACAAAGAATTCACATGAGACATGTTTGCTTAAAGGATCTTCCTCGTCTAGCTAGTCAAATGCTTAGATATCTATTTCTATATAAAGATTCTGGGATCACACTTGCCTCTCTAAATCAAGAGCATCAAATGTGCTTCATGCAAGAGTGGTGTGAATTGCAAGGAGTGACTGGCATGAAAGTTCTGTTAACCCAAAACTGCCAGTCTACAGGATATAACAAAGCAGCCTGAAGACACACCAACATCACAGTAGAAATCTAAAAACCTAAATAAACATAAGCCTTTTGTTGAATGTGCTCTAGAAACTAAGGAAACATCAAAGCCATTTTATAGGCATGGCAGGAAAAGATCTGATGATTTCCCCACACTCAGAATGTCTCTTGCAAAAATAGGACTTCCCAAGATTTTTAATTAATGTCCTGTTTATGGCTGAGGATGCTATCCAGCAGATGTGTTCTTTCTAACCTACAACCCAGCAGTTTGCAAAAAAGACAAACATCCTAAACAGAGAAATCTGTAAATCACATTTTTGTAAGGGACCTTTTCCTTCATGTTCCTGCACTTTCTTTCTAGTTGTCCTTTGGGTACCTAGTAACTTTTTCATATATTCACATGAGGTAGCTGTTGGGCACCCTAGAACAGAGGCACCTTCAAATGATTATCTGGTCTGAAAAATCCTGGCTACAAGATCCTCTGCCACAGTTTACAAACACTATTTTCAGCCTCTTTGGATTTGTTACACCCATTACATCGTGCTCTCAAAGAGTAAGCTCTAAAGAAAGTAGGGTGTTTCCCCACATGTCCTGCTTTTGCCCTTTCAGCAAGTTCCTTGTGATAATACTTCAGATGGTCTATAGACATAAGGTTCAGTTTGCATTTTGTCACTTGTTCTTTTACTGCTTTAAGTGGTCCCTCCAGAGACTTCTGAGACCAGTCAGCATGCTCATACAGGTCTGCTAGGGTCCTAGGAACAGAAATGTGAGAAAATAGCCCATTCATTTTGATGAGTTTCAAAAATTGATACATTTACACAATCACTTTCATCAATGAAAGAAAATCAGTGAGCCTAAACTGAAATTATAATTGAGAGCCTGTGTGGAAAAGGAGTCCCAGTCATCCCAAATCCCATCTCATTTTCTATACGTACCATGTTGAGCCAGAGGCCCCAGTGAGATTTTCTTTCTTCCCTCAAAAGATTTTTACTTTTGGTAAGAAGTGTTCTGAGAATGAAGAAAGAAAAAAGTAAGTCTAAAGAAATGACATCACCTGACCCTGCTCTGCTGCCATTCAAATCAATAGATTTGTTATCAATGTGTAAATATTACTAGAAATTCCAAGGGGAGTAGTGCCAGCCAGCCCTAAGCGCACATCTAGTTTTTCTGTGCTGAAACATAAATAAATCCAGAGGCACAGAGTGGGTTTATAAATAACCATTTGTGCTGCAGATTTATACAGAAACTGTAGCATTCAAATAATTTTTATTTATTTCTGTGTTTATATGTTGAGAACTGTGTCCTTTGGGTAATGTATGGACTCTAATGTTTGTTGCAAAGGACACCCAGTGACAAAGTCCCTCACCGTTTGAAACTCTCATAAATTTTTTGCATTTTTGTGGGACTCTTTGCTGAAGGACATATGTCTAGTGTCCTTGTCTAAATAAGCTGCTAGTAGAGGGACAACTGTAGTGGCACATTCTGTAAACAAAGAGACGAGAGCAGGAACAAGAACAAAAACAATGCAG